TGGTCAACTGCTCCAGAGCTGGTTATGGATGAGAGCTGCCACACCTTGTTCTTAACGTGGATGCTGAGGATGCAAACCCAGGTCCTCGTGGCCTTTGCCCATTCAGCCATCTTCCCAGGCCCAAATGCCTTTCGTGTTGCAAAGTTACTTTAGAATTCTTTATTTATTTATTGTATCTGAAGGGTTTCCCTTTCTGTCTGTATGTACACCTTGAACATGCCTTGTGTCCAGGGAAATCAGAAGAGAACATTGACTATCCTGGAACTTGAGTGATAGATGGGTGTGAGCTACCAGGTAGGTGCTGGAAATTGAACCAGGTTCTCTGGAAGAACTGCCAGTGCTCTTGACCACTGAGCCATCTTTCCAGCCCTGCAAGCTAGAATTCCACACCCATTAATAGTTCCCTGTCCCTTCCTGCCACAGGCCCTGAAGCCTCCATTCTGTGTCCAGTTCTATGATTTTGCTCTTACAGGTACCTCGTGAGTGGGGCCAAACAGTATATGTTATTGTGTCAAACAGTTTCGGTTATTGTGAAATTGGTTTCTTTCCCTTAGCATAATGCCTCATGTTTCATTCATGTTGCAGCCCAAAACAGAATTGGGAGAAAGTTCCAGACCAACTAACAAGTAACAGAACAAGACGAGCATTTGTTTTCCCTCACTCAGGAAGCAGAGGCCAAGCTTGGATTCCACTTGATGGCATCAAGTGCAATCATCCTTCTTGCCCCTGCTATGTCCCCTAGGCTTTTCCTCTCACGATAGAAAACCCAACACTACCTGCCGCACTTATCATGCATGTAGTCCAGCCATCAACAAGGAGGAAGGAAAGACGGATGAACACGCCTTTCCTTTAATGACACTTTATATTGCTGTCTCGTTGCTTAGAGGCTAATCACTGGAGCGGTATGATTTCAGATGATTAGGATGACCATAAGAAAGACTGAAAAACGTGATCTTTATTGTTCATAGCTCAGAGGCACTGCACAAATGATGAATTCTATGTTGAGGAAGAAGGGCAGAGCTGCAATTGAAAGATGGTCAGGAGGGTCGGCCTCAGCTTACAACATCGAGCAGCAATGTGGTGGCGTACATTCCGGCAGGTAGTGTTGGGTTGATTATCTCTAGGCCTACAGCCAACAGTGGCTAATAACTTTGAAAGGATAACACTTTTCTCTCCTCTGTTTATGCTTAACACAAATCAGACTTACGGAATGTAGTTAGTGAAGCCTAGAGCAGCAGAAACAAGCTATTAGCTAGGTAGCCTGATACCCTGGATGGTTTCTCAGTCTCTTGTCAATTCCTTACTTCCTCAAGATGGAGCTATCGTTTTTGGTGTCAATAAAAATGGAGTCAGTTACAAAGTAGCTTCCAGGTAGAAAGTTGAGTAGGAGAGCCTTTCTCAAAGCAAGTCCCTGACAATGTGTCCATACATGGAAGGATTTTAGGGGCTTCAAAAAGTTTACAAGTCTTCTAATAACACTAACTTTATTTTGTTTGTCAAGTTGGTAAATGCGTGACCTTTAAGCTCACTGATTTAGCTCAGAGGCACTTTTGTGTGCTGGAACTATGTGTCCCGGCACTATGTGTCCTGGCACTATGTGTGCACACACTATGTGTCCCGGCACTATGTGTGCAGACACTATGTGTTCTGGCACTATGTGTGCACACACTATGTGTCCCGGAACTTTGTGTGCAGACACTATGTGTTCTGGCACTATGTGTGCACACACTATGTGTCCCGGAACTTTGTGTGCAGACACTATGTGTCCCGGCACATCTTTCCACGTTATTTTAATGAGGCTCCGTTTTCCTGGAGGCAGAGGTGGGTAGAGGTGGGGTTGGGATGGGTCAGGGCCAGTTGGTGAAGGAATAGTATTTGTTACAGTATTGGTTTAAACTGAAAAACTAAACATATAAAACAGTGGCTTTGTTATTTCAGGACCTCTGGTGTTTTAAAAAAGTCTTGGTATTAGCAGTTTTATCTCAGAGCTTTGCTGTGATGGGTGTGGTCCTTAGGGTTACAAGAGATGGGACAAAAGATTCTGGGCAAAAGGATGAGGCTAACGATTGAGTAGTTAAGTTTTAACGATGCTCTTGTTATAGTCCCCACTGCCTCCACCTTTAAACGAAAGTAATTTCAAAGTCTCTGACATTTGGGGATGACAGGATATCCTACTGCTATAATCTATAGGACAGCTCATGGCTTCACTGGGCCCCAGCCATTCTGAAAGGTGATAACCAAGAAGTCCAATAATTCATCTGGAAGGACAGGACAGTTCCTTAACACTGTAGTCTAGTGACCCAAGAATAAATTCACTGTTACATTGGACCTCAAGCATGGCCTGTTTCTTATGGTGTTGTATAACTGTATTTCTGGGTCCAGTTGGGTTCCATTGTGCCAAATCTGTAACTTTAATTCGCATCATATCTGAAATATCCCATAGCCTTTTCCTGTAATTCCTGTGACTCATAATCTAAGAAGGCAGAGCAACTGTAGTGGAAAGTGCCATGCTCTCGACTTAGATAGGGACCAGTTGGCAAAGGATAGACTGTGCTACTCAGGAATGACAAAGTCAATGGCTGTGTGGGGAAAGCTCTGCTGAACCTTTCTGAGATAGTCTGTCCTTTTGGAAGCAGAGGCCATGGTGAGGTGGAACACAAGACAAACTGGTTTTCCAAGGCTTCTGTTCATCTTGGTCCAGGGTGGTGAAGGGTTTTCCAGGTGAGTTTCCGGTTTGTCCCTAAGGGGAAGGTCTGGCCACCCATGATAGAAACGCCACACACATCCAGATTCCCTCCTAAGATTAGTCATGCACACTGAGGCGCTAGCTAGGTTAGTGTCAGGGAAGGTATATCAGAGTGACACAGGCGTGTTCTTCAGATGTCTTTTAATTTTGTAGTGTACTCGTCACCAAATCTAGACACATCTGGGGGCAATAACAGGTCTCCTAGGATCCCCATCATTCATTTTTCCTTAACTGAGTCACAACGAATAAATTTATCTAGAGACTCCATCTAGGGAGATTAACTTTAGATAGCAGAGACAGTGGTCCCTGCTGAGCACCTTTCAGGGGCCATAGCCTTTTTTTTTAAACTTCTAGTTTTTATTTTCTAATTCCCATGGGGGGAAAAACACACCTCTCTCTCTCTCTCTCTCTCTCTCTCTCTCTCTCTCTCTCTCTCTCTCTCTCTCTCTCTCGTGTGTGTGTGTGTGTGTGTGTGTGTGTGTGTGTGTGTGTTTCCAACTTAACCTCTCTGTAGCCTCAGGAAAAACAGTGAAACATTCAACACTTGGACTTTCAAGGCATCTAGCTGCGGTGTTGTTTGGGGGAAAACAAGTAACCACACCGCTCTTGTCCCTTTTAATTTAAATTTTACACAAAATCTGTTTTGAGAGGGAAATGGAGCATGCTAGGCTAATGACAGCCTTCCTTTCTCCCACTTGTCTCAAGTCACAGGGATGTGGTCCTCGCTGGGTTGGGAAGTTGGCCACTACGCACTCATTAAAAGAAGCCTCCAAATCACTGCAAAATGAAAACAAATGAGCAGCCGGGGGTGGGGGTGGGGCAGGTAAGGGTGGCGGTGAAGCTAGAGGAGTGTGTCAGAGAACTGACTTATTCTCAAAGGAATTCTCACGACAGCTACACACATTGCCGAAACCTCTGGTCTGAGACGGAGGAAATGCTTGACTTCTCTGGCTTGTCAGTGATTATTGTTTGGATTCACGAGGTGCTGCAGGAACTAGCATGCGGGTGGGCACCTGCTGGATGTTCTTCGGGTGGGGAACGTGTGCTCATAGTAGGCGCCAAAGACGAATGACCATTGGCCCCAACAAGTGCCAAGCGCTCTCCATCTTTACCTGGCGCCTTCATAACGTAGTTATAAAAATTATTGTTTCTAGATTAGCACCCTTTTTGAGTAGAGCCAGCCACTGCTTGGCCACAGGCTGGGACTCAGCGGGGGCCGGTTGGCGGGGTGAGGGGATCAAAGAGGGACACCAGGGCCGAACAGGCGAGAAGCGCTGCAGGGTAGTGGTTGCCACCGCACGCCCAGCTGGGAGGCCGCCACGGAGGCGGCCCAGGCAGAGATTAGCGGCGGTGGTCCCTCCCTGGCCCGCGAGTGAATGAATGATTAGTCTAATGCAACTCCCTGTCCTAGGCAGCTATGGCTGGGAAGGGCGGAGTCTGAACCACGGATCTTCATTTTAAGGGAGAAAGGCGCTGGCCGCGGTGCGTGTATTAGCCGACCTTCCTTGCAGCTTCAACTTCTGTCCTCTCTAGTATCAGGCCCGCAGTGGCTTAATCACGGAGCCTGATCTCCAAGGCCACTCGTTCCCTCCGTCCCCTTAGCTTCCTGAGTGCCCTGCTTTCCCCTGAGGGAGACAAGGGGGTGTGAAAAGTTGAGGGGACCCTCCTGCACCCGGTCCGTGGCTCCTTCCGAAGCTGGGACAGCGGGAGGCGCCGGGTCTTCTGCTCCGGGCGTGAGCGGGTGGTGGCATCCCGGCTGGGGGCGGCTCCTTTGCGCGGGAGGAGGCGGTGCGCCGGGCGCTGGAGACGCGCCTTCCCGGCTCCGGCAGCTCCCCGGGGCCGGTGGCCGGCTGGGCTGCAGGGAGGGCTAAACCGCCTGGCACAGCATTCGCAGGAGTGACTGTCTCTCCTGAGCCAGGATCCTGGTCTCTCGTGCGACCCGCGGGTTCCGCACAGTGCCCGGTGCGCCCTTGTCTCCCGCACCGAGCAGGCGTGAGGGCTGGACATAGAGTCCGGGGACCGGACCGGAGTTGCGCGTGCGAGAGCGAGAAGCCTGCCCGGCTCCAGAGCGACGAGCGCACTCGGCAGCGCCACCGCCGATCCCCAGCTCCCGCCGCTCCGACACCCCTCCTCCCAGCCCTGCTCTGGCGCGGAGGGGCTGACTGCTAACCCGCTGTGAGCAACTCCCTTAGAAAAAAGCCGCCGCATTGGCCGAGGCTGGCCGCAGGACCCCTCCTCCCGGGGCGCCCCCACTCCTCCCCCGCCGCTCCGGGCGCCCGCCTCCCTCCGCCGACTGTCTCCCGGCACGCCGGCCCACAGCCCTTTTGACTGCGAGCGGCGGCCGCCTAGCAGAGGCTGCGACGCGGGACCTGCAGTCGCCCGGGATTCCCTCCAGGTGACGATGCTCTGGTTCTCCGGCGTCAGGGCTCTGGCGGAGCGTCCTTGCCGACGCTCGCCTGGGATTACCTGCTGCGTCTTGCTGCTGCTCAATTGCTCCGGGGTCCCCATGTCTCTGGCTTCCTCCTTCCTGACAGGTAGGGGGTGGGGGCGGGAGGGACCAGTCCTCCCGGACGCTGGGGTGGTTCTTGAGAGTAGCGGCACTGACTGGCCCGGGATGGGAGGGTGGAGGGCACCCACCTTGCTTGGCCCTCCCGGGTGATGGGGGATGCGGAGAAGCCTGGAGAAAAAGGGTGGGAAGGCTGTGTTGAGGTAGAGAGATGTGGGAGCTGAGTGGATGCTATCTTCGACTGGGTGGTTATCGGCACTCCGCTATTTGAAGTTAGGAAATTCCTTGATTTACTTACGTTGAATCTTTTTCTCAATCCTTGTTTTAATCTTAACCCCTCCTATGCAACGAAGGAAAAGACAGCGCCGTTTCCCGCACATCCTCTTTTCTCACTCCACAGGATTCCAATAAATCCACTGTGCTAGGCAGCGTTTTTAAAACATGCTTTTCCAGACCTTGAACTTAAAGAAATGATCTTATTTTGAAAGGTTACTAATAGCAAGATATAATAATTACATATTTTCAGGCAGGTGAAGACCCCAGCTGCTATTTTGAAGGACATGCTTTACTGACACCTGGTGCAGAAAACAGAATATTTCTAAGAGAAAAGAGATTACAGTTCAGAAACTGATTTCAACCCGCAACAGCAGGCAGATTCACCTGAAAGGCCCGCTCTTTGACACGGTCCTGAATGCCATTCAAATTTAAGATCTTCCCTAATGACCAGTTTGGTGTGAGTCTGTGTGTGGCTGAAATGCCTTCCAAAGCACTAGCGTTATTAAATATGTGCCCAGACCAGCCGAAATCAGAAAACCTATCTATATACTGTAGTGACTCAAAGAAAACCATAAGAATTATTTAAAATAGATTTGACAAAATTTGTTTGTGGTGAGCTTGATTACTTAAAACATTATACATTTCAGATGACTAGCATAAAAGGTAAGATTTTTGCAATAATTCCACTAACCAAGATTTAAATTTAAAAACACTTTCATCTTCATTTCAGGGTCTGTTGCAAAATGTGAAAATGAAGGGGAGGTCCTCCAGATCCCATTCATCACAGACAACCCTTGCATTATGTGTGTGTGCTTGGTAAGTGTACAGGTCAGGGAAAGAGAACTTAACTGCGGTCTCCGGCAAGTACATCTGCTAAACATGACAGAGTGACTGTCTTCACACTGGTTTTGATCATTACCAAATTGCACATCACTTGTGCATCGAATCTAGTTAAATTTCATATATATATATTTTATTTTGGCAATTTCTGCCTCAGCAGGCTGAGAATTCTTATCTTGGACATTGCTGTTGTATAAGTACAAGTCAAGGTGGACTTTGTATAACATTGTTTCAGGAAAGCTACAGTTTGGAATGCCTGCCACATTAGAAGTCATAGATGTCAGTACCCCTCAACTTTCTGCACTGGTTCTATCCATTGAGCTCAGCAGGGGATTGCTGAGATAGCATTTCGGTACAGTGGTCAAGGTTAAAATATGGGAGAAGGGAGAGAGATGACTGCCACAAAGGACAGGCCCAAGACAAGGTGTAATCTTGTATTGATCTCTTGCTTTTCTTTGCCTGCTGTGACGGAAGCTCTGGCTGGTATACAGGCTTCTTTTCTGACTTGGAAGCACAGGTCAGGAAGAAGGACCTATTCTTAATCAGGAGTGACACTTGGCTGTCAACTGCTTAGTTGGTACTGGCAGTGGCTAGTAGATTCAAACGGATCATTTGTTTCAAGTTATTTTAGCTTAGGCTCCTGATAATTCTGATAAACAGCCACTTGGAGGTGATTGAGCTACACTGAAAAGACTTTCTGAGACACATATAGATCTACAGAGGATAACGTTTTCACTGAAGAGTGTTTTACATGCCATTCACTTTTGGTAAAACTCAGTTAAAACTACACATCTTCAACCCCTGTTGGGAATACCTTAAGGCATTTAAGAGCAGATTCCTTCAGTGATGCCCGGATGCTAGCTTGTTATCCCAATCAGCAGTAGGAAATTAGAAAGTAACCAACTCTCTTCAGACAAAAGCCACGCCATGATGTCCGGAGGACCCAGACTCTTTGTGACAAGAGACGAGGTCAATGTTTAGAGATGATGAATGAGTTTGTGCTTGCGTCAAATGAATATCAGGCTCTAGACTGAAGAGATCAACAGAAACAAGTAAACACGCTTTTCATTGGCTGAGCCAATGAGAATTGCAGCCTAATGAAAGGGGCTCTTCTGTATTCATGAGCTGCCGTGTTCACCATCTTTACTAAAGAACACCCTGAAAATAAGTTCCAAGGTTAGACTATGACTTAGCTATAGATTTACAAATGTGGCAGGTGAATATAGTCTTCCCTTTTCATTTATTTGTAGAGTGTGAATAAATGATTTTAATTTTCTTCTCAACATTTTACAAGAGATTATTCTAAGTAATATTTAAATATGTCGAGAACTCTCCATGTGAACCTATTACCTTTCTTTTTGGTGATATTACAATTTGTGAAGCCTAAATACACATTTTGAATTTTGCAAACTATTATCATCACATAATATAATGAAACATCCCCCACAAGGCATTTTTCTTTCCTAGTAGTTCTCTCCCCATGATAGACAGTGCCTTTCTTTCAATGTGGAGACTTAGTAATATGAAAATTGATACCAGAGTTATTTGCTTCGTGCTTTATAAAAGTATCAGCCAGCCGGGCGGTGGTGGCGCACACCTTTAATCCCAGCACTCGGGAGGCAGAGGCAGGCAGATCTCTGTGAGTTCGAGACCAGCCTGGTCTACAAGAGCTAGTTCCAGGAGAGACTCCAAAACCACAGAGAAACCCTGTCTCGAAAAACAAAAAAAAAAAAAAAAAAAAAAAGTATCAGCCAAGTTCTGAACAGCAGAAAGAACATGGAGAGGCATCTATAGAGGACAAGTCTCAGTTTTTTCCTTATGCTCCTGGCAGTAGGTCTCACCCATTATTCCTTCAAATGCCTTCCTTAGCTGCTGTGATAGCTGCCCAGTGATAGCTGACCATGACCTTGGCAGGGATGTAGAAGGATGAGCCCACGTTCTCAGTGTTATTGCTTCTCATGCATCCGTGATGACTTAGGAAGAGTAGGTGGTGAGCATGTCTCTCTGTGTCCACTCTTGTGAGTTTACAGGGGATCTGCTACACCCATAGATTTCTTGCTGCATGGTCAGGAGGCTGCTTGGTATTTTTGAACTTAGGTTGGAAAAGAGATATATTTAGTAAACTGGCAGTATGTTCAAGCAACATTTCCAAAACCTTATTTATTTGCCAGACAGTTTGTGAAGCAGCTTGCATTATTTAACTTGAACCCCATAAAAATCTTTTGAGAGGATTCTGCTCGTTTTGAAGACGAGGAGGCTGAGCTTTATGAAATTAAGAAGCTCGTGAAGGTCATATTTTATCTGCACAGGATTCAGTATTTTATTTATCAAAATTACCGAGCTGACACGCAGGGTCATGGCTGTCTGTCTCTGGAGCACACACGCATAACTAGGAGAAATGGGCTAGTTGTTAAGCTAACGAATGAGAAGCTGGAGGAAGGAGAGGGCCTGTCGAAATTTCTTTTCCGCCAGGCCTTCCTTGAATGATGTTGTTTTGTTCTTTTGAGCCATCCGGAGCTCAGTGAGCAGTTGTTAGTCACACCGCGTGAGAGGAAAAAAAAATCTCTTTCCGATTTCAGCTGACCTGCAGGGAGTCCTAGTCCTGAGTGAGGCTTGCGTATGAATATTGGAAGATATGTGATAGTTTAACTCAATTTTGGATTAGAGACGTAGGAATATTTAGTTTGGGTTGGTCCAGCTATTTTGGAATAAAGTAGTTAAGGCTGGGTGTAAGCTCATATCTTGTTTCATAACATGTATGAAAACAAAGCTAACCTTCAATGTATGCTTAAAAAAAGATGGAGGAAGGTACAGTTGGGGGAAGTCCGTGGCCCAGCGTCCTGAGTGTAATTACAGTGTCAGAGCCTGAAAAGCTCCAGAGAATCTACACAGTCTGATTGAATTTTTAAGGTTCAGAGTAGCTCAGAGATAGAATGAACACTTCATTTCTGTGGACACTCTGGGGACGAGGACATTGCAGAAGCGAACAAGTTCACCCCGATTTATCAGTTGCAGAGGCCAGAGCATCCTGCCAGAACTGCTAGTGGTCCAGGAATAAGCTGTTTGTTAGGTGGCAGCGGAATCTCTTTCACAAATGGGTGGGTGCTGTGAGACGCGGGACCCAGGTCTGGGCCCCGGGGATCCAGGCAGGCAGTGTACCCTAGAGAAAGGGCGCGTGCTTCCTTGCTCAGTTAAAAACAAAGCAGGGCTTTCGCACCTTGTGATCTTTAATGGGACGGGTGAGCCTCACACTGTTTCCATGTCGTTTCCATGATCCCCATCCTCCCCTGCGAGAGTTAATTTTCTAATAATGCCCAGGACAACACATGGGTGCCTGTCCCAAAGTCCTGCTGTCGGGGGACAGTCACACTCGGATACATGACCCTGCTGCAGCTCTCTGCTCCACGGCCATCTCCAAACCCACCGAGTGCAGGAGGAGGGGTGTCCATGCTTCTGGGTCTTTGCCCACCCCACTGCCGCCGAGGAAGTGGTGGGAGCCAGTGAGTTCCGCCCAGGACTAGAAACCTGAGATAACTTTGGAGTCTGCGACACTGAAAACCATAAGTCAGAGCTTAGTTTGGCGTACATTTTGTTCAGCAAAAAACATTATTCCTGAGGTTGAAATTTCCTCTTTTAAATCCAGAGGTGCAATGCAGAAATGGGCCCTCGCTCATAAAAAGCCATGTGAATTCCCTGTTACAAGAAGCAGGCCCCACCTATCTTGGAGCTGACTGAACAGCTTAACAGAGCCGACCTTGTCCGCTCCTCTTCCACTTTCGTAATCACCAAAATCCTCTATCGCCCAAGGAGCAGCTCCAGCATCTCCGTGTCTCAACTGCCTCTGCCTTTGGGCTTTCAGCGCTACAAAATCCTCAGGTTTTCCATAGTTCATATTCTTATTGCCTGAACCATGGCAGAGATCATCAGAACTCGTATTAGGCCCTTAGCTGCAGCACGCATGTGTGTGCGCATGCGCTCGGCGATACCGTAACTTGAGACCAGGACATGGGGCCTGCAATGTGTACATGTAGATCTGTGTCATTTCTTTTTCAAAAATGGTTCATATCATATCAGAAGTGATCCAATTTATTTGTTTATATTTATGTGGTTGTTTTTAGGCAATCTTGGCTGACTGCTTTGAAGATTTTTGAGGAAAGGTTACTTAGACAGTTGTGCTGGCAAATTCACAAATGCCTGCTCTGAGACAGTTCCTCCTTCACAGGTCTCTAGTCCCAGAGGAGCAGAGCAAATCTGGGGCCACACAGGCTCTGAAGGCAGAACTGGGCTGTGAAGCCAATTTACTGTCAACTTTAGCAGTCTGCTTCTGCGGGTTGGTCACCTCTGGAAGCTTTCAGGGCAACAACTCCACCCAATCAGCTCAGGGCTCTTTGTGGGAGGATTCAGAATGGAATTTTGAGGGCTGGAGAGATGGCTTAGCTGACTTCCAGGGGTCCTGAGTTCAATTCCCAGCACCCACATGGTGGCTCACAGAATGGATTTTGAGCTGGTAGCACAAACCGGTCTTGGATTTGGAGACCCTTTCAAGGACAGATGCAGCTTTTGGTTGGCATCCTATCGTTTTGGGGAAGGGGTTTAGTTTAGGAATTCCAGAAGCCTTGTTTACCATCTGAAGGGTGGCAAAGGCAGCTGGCCCTGTTTCCTCTCTAAGCTGGTTTCCTTACGTGGAAAGTGGGATGGATGTCAGTGTCTAGCCTGTGGGGTTGCCATGAGAATTCAGTGCTGTGGAAGAGAGAATGTCTGTTTAGCTTAGGACTTAGATGGAAGGACGTCCCCTGAGATGATTTTTTTTTGCTGCTATTACTATGTTGGTGTTATCCTTTAAATTATTATTTCCTTAGATGAAGTAGTCTATAGAGGTTTGTCATAACAGAATACAAAAAAAAAAATAGTTGATGCAGAAGAGACCCAGGAGTGATCATATCCACCCTTCTCTGTGAATCAACTCCATTACATCA